TACACGGTCACTCATGAGTTGGCCAAGGCAGGCAGATGCCTGCGTTGGCCAAGGGGGAATTCTTGTGCACACCTCTCCGCTCTGCCAGGCTTTGAACACTCCCTTGCCAGCCCCTCTCCTGCCAGCTGTTGGGCGGGAGTGGAGGAGTGTTGGCAGGGGGAAGGAATGGACATTCATTCTGGCCCCAACCTCCCAGCAGGTGGGGGGGAGCCCCTGAGGTAGGGGCTTTTTCCTCTACACGGTGTCTCTGCCAGGCTGCAAATGCCCCAGCCCTGCCCCCTCACCAGGTTCCTGCCCCTCAGCCAGAGGAGAGTGAGAAGGGGTGGAATGGACCCCTACTGCAGCCCCCAGCTGGGATCTGCACAGTATGGGGGGATCCCCCCAAGGTCAGGGGCTGGCAAGGGGGTGCGGCTGGAGCATTTGCAGCCCAGCAGAGCTGTGCTGTGGGGAAAAAAGCTACTGTGTAGACTTCTACACACCAATTGTGTAGACCTCAGCGGGGGACTGGGGCCAGAGCATTCCCTCCCTGCCCCTCTACAGCTGGCAGACAGAGCCTGGTGAGGGGTAGAGTTGGGATATTTGCAGCCTGGTAGAGCTGCATTATGGGGGAGAAACCCCCCACCTTGGTGGCTTCCCCTGCCCCATCTGCTATGTAGGCTCCAGATGGGGGAGCTAAAGTGAGGGTCCATGCCCTACCCTGCACACCCCTGTGCTGCTACCAGCAGGGCTGAGGAGGCTTTCTTAGCTCTGTGACAGCCAGGGCCAGGGCCACTGCTTGACTGGAGCAGACAAGCTGGGGCAGAGACTGTCCTGCCTAACCTGTGAGGGGGAGTTTAGTGGGAGGCTGCAATGCATCCTGGGATGCCAAGGGGGCTGACACCTAACTTGTGTCTGGAGGGGATCTGGGACAGAAGTTTGATAAATCTAAACCATGCAAGTCTGATACTATATCCATTCAGGTCTATCTTAAACTGGTGTTGGCCATTTTGAAACCGGTCTGTGTACTGAACTTCTATTCTGTTACATGTTTAAACTAGTTTCCAGTCACTTATACCAGTTTATGTGTAATGTCTCTCCCTAGCCTATGGGTCTGTTCTGAGGAAGAAAGTTATCTTGGTTGAAAACTGACTCTCATAGATGGTATGCAGTAGATTAGGATCTAAAACTGTAATGTATATGCAGCATCAGTAGGGCCCATTGAAAATGTTTAGGTCATAGAATCATACAATCATAGATAATTAAGGTTGGAACCCCCTGCTCAAAGCAGGAACATCCCCAACTAGATCATCCCAGCCAAAGCTTTGTCTAGCTGGGTCTCAAAACCTCCAAGGATGGAGATTCGCTGCGTAATCTGCTCCAGTGTTTTCCTACCTTCCTAATGATAAAATTCTTTCTAATATCTAACCTAAACATCCCTTGCTGCAACTTGAGACTATTGCTCCTTATTCTGGCATCTGCCACCATTAAGAACAGTCTATCTCCATCCTCTTTCAAGCCCCTTTTCGGGTAGTTGAAGGATCCTATTAAATCCCCTCTCAGTCTTCTTCTCTAGACTAAGTAAGCCCAGTTCCCTTAGCCTGTCCTCGTACGTCATGTCCCCCAGCCCCCTCATGATTTTTGTTGCCCTCTTCTGGACTCTCTCCAGTTTCTCCACATCCTTTCTGTAGTGGGGGGCCCAAAACTGAGCTCAGTTCTCTAGATGTGGCCTCACCAGTGCTGAATAGAGGAGTATAATCATTTCCCTTGCCCTGGTGGCAACACACCTACCAGTGCAGCCCAGGATACCATTAGCCTTCTAGGGCACACTGCTGGCTCATATTCAGCTTATTGTCCACTGTAACCCCCAGGTCCTTTTCTGTAGAGCTGCTGCCCAGCCAGCCCCCAGCCTGTACCAGTTCATGGAATTGTTCTGTCCTAAGTGCAGGACTTTGCATTTGCTCTTGTTGAACATGAGATTTATTTTGGCTTAATCCTCCAACTTGTCTAGGTCCTGCTGTTACAGAATTAGAAAGCTGGCAAGACATCCATCCCTGCAAAATCTTTCTTCTACAGTTTAAGTCTGGAAAATCCTTTCCTTGAAATCACTTTCTCTTGCATCTAGAAAAAATATGAAGAGAGCAGGCTACATTTTTAGATATGAATCCTAAACATATATCTACAAAAATCTGCATCGCTTCAGGAATTTGGATAGCTCTGTATGAAAAATACATATTTTTTTGTTTGATAAAGAAACATTTATACAAACAGTTTTCATTTGTTTTGTGCAAATATATGTTCTACTGCATATGATGAGTGTATTCCATTATATGGGTTCTGCGTATCCTCCCACGTTAGCCTGACCTTGATATCATAAGAAATGAGTTAACAATTAACGGAATTAGAAATGGTTTCTAATAACAGACAGGCCAAGACCAACATCTGGGTCCTTCCACAGTCCCTCAAAATTCTGGCCACTGCTCAAAAATTAAGTATAAACCCAGACATGCATTTTGTACTGTTTTAACAAAACATCAGAATATACTAAATGGCAAGGACAGAATGATATTACTAGCAACTGAATGATCATTGGAAGATGATGGGCCGGAAAGTGAGTCAGCCTGTTGTGCTAAAAGATGATTACAAGATGGCAAACATTAAAAGAGACAGCAAATTGTCATGAAAATACTATCTCTTTATTGTTGGACTATAATTCCGTCTTTTGCATAATATTGATCCTGTATGTTATGTAGCAATATATGAGAAACTATTTAGTTTATCACTACTACTGTTAAAGGGAGAATTTTTCAGGGTAAGAAAAAATCATTTCTTCCTAAAGCACCATTTAAATGCTGACTTGTTTTCAGAGATGGTCTCTGTACTCCACTTCATCTGAGATGCCCCATGTACACTGTTGGCTCGTACCTCAGGATTCATACTTATGGGACTTCTGTTATTAATTTGAATTAAAGCCATATGTTTGTAATTATTTTTAAGGCTTGTGATAATTATCAAAAACAGAAGCTGCTGCAATTCTCTTTCTCTGCAAAATGAAAATAAAAACTCAAAATAATATGGAATTGCCTTATGGAGGTGTTCATCCTAGAGCTGATGTACAACAACTACTGAAGTGATATCTGCCAATTTGACATTTGGTTTATTTTAAAATATGGGTAGAGGCAAAAGAGCGGTATCATGCTTCATTTCATTTGCTATCAGCTACACAAAAACCAAATCTTTACTGGAGTAAGAAGGATGAATAATCTTTTAGTAGTGTCACAGACTCTCATAATTTCTCACACTATTTTCTTAACCTCTTATGTACTATAAAAGTGATATTGTAACTGTGATGGTCCAGAAATTATGCAAGAGGGTGTCTTAGGGTGGTATATTTTATTGGATCAACTGGGCATGTCCACACGATTGCACACGTGCCTCTTGCCACATCTCAAACCCATTTGAGGCGGGACAACAGGCACATGCGGGAACGAAAAAAATTAAACCCCTGGATATACAGGGGTCTAAAAAAATTGAAGTTTAAAAAAGTGAAGCCCTGAGGCAACCAGAGGCTGGATCCTCCGTAGAGATGCTCTGGCTGCTAGAACGTCTCTATGGTTGGCCACTCACCCTGGTGCTGAAACTCGTGTCTGGGCAGGCCACATGTTTCAGCATCAGGGCTCTGGTGAATAAGGCGTGGGGGGGGGTTGGAGGAGGGGAGAGGGGACCATGGGTGGGACCCCCAGTGGCACCACCCACACTCCCAGACCCCTGCCGGGGCCAGCCCCCCGAGGCCCCTGACCCCTGCCAGGCTG